GAATATAAGCGATTAATTAAACGCGAAATGGCACGTGGTTCGTTGGCGCGAATGATGGTGGTAGAAATGGTACCGGTGTGGCGCTCTATACAGTTGCGCCGGTATGTTAAGGGTCAGCCCCGGTATAGGTCGAGCCCGTTGTCCAACTTTATGTTGTTTTTGGACGTCGACGTCGAGGCTGTTTTGGCCACATATAAGACTATCGTTGAGTCAATCGCTGCGAATATAAAGCAACCCGAAGAGAATGAGCTAGTTCAATTGGCCAAAGAAACGATTGATGTGGATGTTAAATTTTATTTAGCTATGTAAAGTTTTAGTTTGTTTAATTGTATATGATTTTATATAATGTTTTATATAAACTTTATCTATTGATTTAATGTTTATAAAATGATTACAAATACAGTGTTTACTATGTAACTTTACATAATCATATGTTTTCTGCCCATTCATAATATAAAGTATATTATTATTGTTATTGTTATTAATTGTCAAAATAGTTTAATTATAATTATTTCTTATACCAACAAAAATAAAACACAATTTCAATTTAATTGTTTTAATTGTGGATATTTTTGGGACCTTTTGGTCGTGAATATCAGGACTGCAGTTAAAAGTACAGTTAACCCGAAATAACCGAACTCTAAGTATATGAACACTTCGGGATGTTTTTCAACGAGATTCCCGATTATAAACGGAGTGACAAAACCTAAAAGTGCGGACGAAAAGCACAGCACAGAATTGTTTTTATCGGTCAGTTTGATGTACTTTTCACCAAAAGCAAAATAGGATGACCACATGGCAGCAAATCCAAACCCTAATTACGGAAAATGAGTAATTAAACTCAAGTATTGATTATAATAATGATTAAAATAACACAAATAAAAACATTGCAGACTTGTACTATTATTAATACTATAATGCATTTACCTGCTAATATATTGCCAATCCATATCATTGTATTAATTAAACTCAAGTATTGATTATAATAATGATTAAAATAACACAAATAAAAACATTGCAGACTTGTACTATTATTAATACTATAATGCATTTACCTGCTAATATATTGCCAATCCATATCATTGTAAGCGAATTGGACCCAAAAAACAATATACCCAACGATACGCCAATAATAACCAAATGATAGCTCAGCATAATTTCGGGCCTCAATTTGCTGGATATAAAAGCCGAAAACAGTCGCCCGACGGTAAACGTGGCGCTCATTGCCATCAATAGGTCATCGGATGTCTGGGCAGACAATCTCATCGGCAGGTATTGGAAATATGTGGCGCTGTTTCCAAAATAGTTTATTTCAATAGCGCTGTAAACACTTATACTCATTGCCAGCAATACTATTAACAAAATTCTCATTTTTGACGATACGTGGTTATTTTGTTGAGTGTTTCGACCATCATTTAAATCTATGGTATGAATGATATCCTGTTTACTATTTTCACTGTATTGTATTTCCTCTTGTTTTAGAGTTTCCGGAACTTTATATCTCTTAAATATATACATAAACAG